AAAGTATTTATTGCACATGCATGCGAACTTGTTTTGAAAAAGAAAAAAACCCTGAACCTTTCTTTTTCAACTCCTCTTTATTGCAAAATTTGCAAATATTGGATACCATGTGAAATGTCACATGTACATCAGTATATGTATGTTTATACGAACGTGAAAAATACCTATATCATAACAATAATTTATTTCCCACAAAAAAAAAACAGAATAATAAATTTAATCATGTAAGTTATAAGTTACAAATAGCAAAATATTTTCTTAATTGGCAGATATATGATTTAATTAATAATTTTATTACTTGATGTAATATATTTTTGATCAAATAAAAAGTTATATAAATATACAAATTTTTGTGGTCGACAAAAAAAAAATACAAATTTTTGAAAATTTATTTTTTATTTTTGCAGATACGTGGCCGTAGGTAACGAGCCGTTTTTGACAGCATACAATGGTTCATTCATAAACCTAACGTATCCAGCACTCGTAAACATCCAAACCGCTTTAAACGACGCCGGAGTCGGAGATTTCATCAAAGCCACCGTTCCTTTAAACGCCGACGTTTACAATTCTCCGCCGGACAATCAAGTCCCATCCGCCGGGAGATTCCGTTCCGACATTTTGCAAGAAATGACACTCATCGTTAACTTTCTCGCACAGAACAAAGCTCCTTTCACTGTCAACATTTACCCTTTCTTAAGTCTCTACTTAAGCACCGATTTCCCATTCGAATACGCCTTTTTCGACGGCCAAAACACCGTTAACGACAACGGCATTATCTATACAAACGTTTTTGACGCTAGTTTCGACACGCTTTTGGCTTCTTTAAACGCTTTGAACCATGGTGATATGGAAGTGATCGTTGGAGAAGTTGGTTGGCCTACTGATGGAGATAAGAACGCAAACGTTCCAAACGCGGAACGGTTTTATTCTGGTTTGCTTCCTCGGTTAGCTAACAACGTTGGAACTCCTATGCGTAAGGGTTACATTGAGGTTTATCTTTTCGGATTTATCGATGAAGAAGCGAAAAGCGTTGCGCCGGGAAACTTCGAACGTCATTGGGGGATATTCAAATTCGACGGTCAACCGAAATTCCCGGTTGATTTTCGGGGACAAGGTCAGAAAAAGTTTTTAACCGGAGCTCAAAACGTTCAGTATTTGCTAAACCAATGGTGTATGTTTAATCCCAACGGTCGTGGTAACATTAGTAGGCTTGGAGATAATATAGACTATGCGTGTTCGCGTGCGGATTGTACCGCTTTGGGTTACGGATCGTCTTGTGGCAATCTTGATGCGAATGGGAACGCGTCTTATGCGTTTAACATGTATTTTCAAGTGCAAAATCAAGAAGCTCAAGCTTGCGATTTCGACGGGCTTGCGACGATTACTACACAGAATATTTCTCAAGGGCAATGTAATTTCCCGATTCAAATCGGTGAGCCATCTTCAGGGCATTATGATTACAGTTATGGTTCGATTGTTAGGTTGGGGTTGGTGATATGTGGCTTGGTGTTTCTTCTCATGACACAATGAGAATGTTATATTTGTTTTTGTTGTATATTACTGATTCTTGGTCTCATTAATCATTGGTATTATTATTTCGTTCCATTGGATCAGTCCAAAATATACTTGCTTTTTTTGTTTGACTTCTGGCTAACAGCCGAGTACTTTGGCTAAAGGGGCTAAATCCATGAGATTCCGCTAAATTTGTGCTTATTTTTATGTCTAATTTGCCAAACTTTGTTTTTTCCTTAAAAAAATAACAATAACATAGAATCTCTTGATTTTATTACACTATTTCTTCCCATGCATTCCCTAATTGTTTATTTTGATTGAAATTTGTTTTTTCAATCAAACTGTTTTTAGTACAACACTACAACTCTTTAATTGCTTGTTTCTATTTATTTTCCCTTATGTCATCTTCATATATAAAAACTGTTTGTTTAGAACACGGCCACTCCATTGGCCTCTGATATGGCTATCACACACTGATGTTTGAGAACGTCTTTGGATTTGATGACGACAACAGTGGGGC